TTTCTGCCAATGATCCCTTTCTCCTAAACGACAGCCTTTCTATTAAGAAGTTTTATCTCCACTGAGAAAAAAAGAAAATGTCAAAGGAATTAGAGACTCAGAAAGAGAGAAGTTAGGAAGAAACACACATACACAAACACACACAAACTTTTTAAAGACTATAAATAAAGAAGAGGAACCTCATTTTAGTTCTCCAACCTTTAACCTAATAGTTAAGAGTGCAACATCTGCTTAAAAGGCCTGCCTCTGCCACTTACTACTTGTAAGAACTTGGGCAAGCATCAAGCACAAATGCTTGTCTACATGAGAAAAGTGCCTACACGGGGCATATAAGTAGCATGTTTGCATATAAGTAACATGCAAACATGTTACATGGATGTCGCAAGAACCTTAAAAAATTTTCCTCAACTCCAAAGACTGAGGCTAAGAAAATGTTTTCCAAAACTTTTGCCACTCTGACAACGTGTTTAAAGATTCTAAGGATTAGCTCAATTGACATAAGACTAGTTCTAAAACAATAGGAGACCAAGAAAGTAGGACAGCTGCTCTTGTAAATTTCTTTACAGATGTAAAGTATATAACATTTAATTGACACAATATAATCTTATTTATTCATTTGCCATGTACCTAGATCTCTGGTTAATTCAGACAATTTTGCCACTAGTTGGCATAAGGATGACTCCATTTGTTTGCAAAGACAGCTTTCAGTTTATTGCCTTAAGAGTTTTTGCAGACTGGAAAGATCTCAGGGTGGCAGTGACAGCTCCCTCCCTTCTTACGTAAAATATATCTCTCTAAAATTTTTACTGTTTACTTCCAAACCAGTATGCCTAGATATAATGTACTCAGTGGAAGTATATATTAAGGCACAATAGATTTTATATTTAGATAAATGGCTCCACTGGAAAATGAAAATCAACCATTCAACTATTTTTATCCTGTTGGAGATTAACACTACACAAAACTGTAATTCCGTCCAGAAGTAATAATTTTAAAAGCATAGTTAAATATTTTTAAAAAACACATTTTAGCCCTAGCCGGTTTGACTCAGTGGTTGGAGCATAGGCCCAAGGACTGAAGGGTCCCCAGTTCAGTTCTAACCAAGGGCATGTACCTCGGTTGCAGGCTCAGATTCCTGGTCCAAGTCAGGGCACATGTGGGAGACAACCAATCAATGTGTCTCTCTCACATCAGTGTTTCTCTCTCTCTCCCTCTCTTCTCCACTCTCTCTGAAAAGCAATGGAAAGGGTATCCTTGGGGGAGGATTTAAAAAAAGAAGGAAAAAAAACACATTTTATGTACAATTTCATGCCGTTTTTTCAACCAAGACTGACAGCATATTTTAATAAAATACTTAAAAAGAAAGGTAAGTATTATACACCATTTGGTCAAGGTAAGAAATGACTGATTATTTTAGAAATAGTATGGTATTCATGGAAAACATTATGGTATAAAATACACATACACACACACACACACACACACACATTGGGCTGAGTTTCCAGAGATTTAGATACTCACCAAAGCTCTGCAAAAAAAAATAATAAAAAATTATTACTTATATTACTTATTATCTTGGTCAGGTATAGCTTCCTGATTAAAAGCCAAATAGACCTACATATGTTTGCATCCTGTGACATTTGGTAACTTTGTGGTCCCAGGAAAGTCAACTCCTTTGAGCCTTTTATTTTCTCATTTGTAAAATGGAAAATAATACTAGAAACTATCTTATAGGAATGTTGTGAGGTTTAAATGTGATAACATATATCAAGTTGTCAGCATAATTGCTGGCACTAAATTCTTAATACACATTAGCATTTATTAATGCCGGTAAGGTATTTCATTTCTCTGAGCTTCAGTTTCCTTTGTAAAATGAGTGGATTGACTTATAATTAGAAAATCCCTTTCAGCTCAAGCTTACAACTTAAATGAGAAATTCCAATGCCACCCTCTCATTCAGATAGGAATTGTAAAATAAACCCTAAAAATACAAACACTACACTCTTATTTTTTTTCATATTTTACCTCAAGCTCTCTAAAGTGAGGAGCACATTCCTAAGCATTATATTCTATATAGTGTGTCCTACCTTTGAACAGTTTTGTCTATTGGTCTACATGTATAAATGTCTAAGTAATTCTTATTAATTACCATGCAAGCTGGCTACAAGATAAAACATTTTGGAGGGATTCATATAATATAAATAATAAGAGAAAAAATTCAAAGAGACAGGATTTTTCACTTATAGTAAATAACACTCATAGTTCATTTACAATAATCTATAACAATGATTTTCAAATTTTCATGTTCTAGTACCTTTCTGGGCAACTTTTCATCCATGCTCCTAAACCACAAACCTTGATGTAATGTTGGGATGGGGCCTCCAAGTGAAGCAGCATTCAAAGTGAAATTTGTAAAAAGTCTCTATATTAAACCATGGTCACACATTCTTTCAAATAAAACAGCTCTGTGGAATGAACAATACAGTTTGAAGTGCAATGGGTAGAAAAGAGACAACTGATGCGTTATATAATAGCAATTATGGCAACCATTGCAATGAAATAGCTTTAATTCAAGAGATATACAAATGAAAATTATTAGTGATAGTATAAAGCAGAAGTTTCAAAGTATATTGCAATAAGAAGAGTGAATAATTAGATTTTAAGATAAGATACATAATGCAATGTCATAAAAAAGAAATATAGAGAATTTTTTAAAATCTTAGTATTTTTGAATCTGAAAAAATTATAGACAGAACCACTTCTGGGATAATGATTCTTTGGTTTTGTTTATGTGGACAGAACATATCTGGAGGCCACCCACTATACAGAGATATCTGTATTGCCTTTTCTCTGACTCATATTCGGGTTTATTCTGTGACTGGAAGGACCCATGCCTAACCAATGAAGAATATGTTTACACACACACACACATATGTATATAAAATGTATATACACACTTTAAATATTTACAAAGGAAGTGTTTATTAAACTACATTTCATTTTCAAAATTAAGCTATCAACTGTTAAAGTGTGTATACATTTTTTGAGACACCCTGTATATATATAATTTTCTCTATAACAATGTTACTTTGTTTCTCAATTCCCAAGAAATGGGGAACAAAGGCCATATATGACTGCAGATATTTGAAATATCTGCAGCCAAGTATTGTGGGCAGAAGATAAGAAGTAGATAGCATGGTCTCAACCCTTAAGGGGTTTTAAATCCACACACAAGTACCTAAGAAGAATATAAAGCAAACTATAAGAAAGAGACAAATATAAGAACTGGCATAAGAGTCCTAGAAAAACTGAGCTTAATAAGGGTTGGATTAGACTTGGAAAGCACTTTTGAAGAGGTATAATTTGAGATAAGTTTCCAAAGTGGGTAAGTGTGAATAAGCAGAAGAGAGGGCATCCTGGGTGAAGGAAGTAGAAGTGGTGTGAGGAGCAAAATGCTGGAGGTAGATTGTTCAGAGGACATTAAGGACAGTTATGTAGTGAAGTAAAGTGAGGTACCTGTGCTACAAAGAAACCAGATTATGAAGCCATTTTCAATCCAAGTGGAATTGGGGTTGGAAAAATAGATTATAGAGAATCAAGAATATTTTGGTGCAGAAAAATGACTTGATGAAAGAAGTGTTCACGGAGCATTAGTTTGGCAGGATGATTTAGGGATGTCAGGCATAAGGGAAGGCTGACTAGGAAGCTCCTGAAGTGACTGGATGAGTGGTGATGAGATTTTAGTTGCAGGATAAGAGAAAAATAATAGCAGAAGTCTTTCAAAGGAAAATTGGACTTGATAACCCCTTAACTATAAGAAATGGAGAAAAATCCAGATTTTGCTGTGAAAGACTCAAGACTTCATGATCAAAGAGTGGAGCAGATTTAATAACACTACTGTGCAATTTCTCCACCAAGGACAAGCAAACAGACTGTTTCTCACAGTTTCTGAGTAATGTAACCCCTCCCAATGAAGGGGAGTTGGACATGGTCTCTCAAAATAGGATTTGCCATTGGTGGTTCTAGCAGAGACACAGAGGAAGAAGAAAGGACTTATCGCCAAACCTGAAACAGAGACCAAAACTTTATAAGAGATGGTTCCAAAATGAAAAAGAAAAAAGACAAAAAAGAAAGATGTCTTATTTTGAGTCTCCACAATGGACCTCACTCTTAGTCTCTCCAAAGAGTTTAAGTTTTACAACCACTGAGTGGCACTCCAAATCAGAATTCCTTGAAGATTAAAAGTTTGATTTACTTGAATAATTAATTTTTCCCCTCCAAATGGTTTCTCATTGCAGTAATTTCTATTCCACAAATGCCTCTCTGAGTTCTTTGCATTATTCCAAACCTGATATCTGTAGATTAAGAATTTGCTTTCTTAAATTCATAAGGACCAGTAGGCCAGATTCAAAAGCAACTGACAGATTCCTCTTCATCAACTGGCACTTGTAACACCACAGGGTCAACCCCCAACCCTCCTCATATTCTGCCCTGACAGATCTCAACCCCACCCCCTTCAGCAAAACGGAAAAAGCGCCTGCGCATACTCGACGCTTATTCTCCTCGCCAAGAACTGCCCCCTCCAAGTTGTTAATGCACAGGCACAGCACCCTCAGCGCGTTTGGGTAGGGCAGTGAGAAATCTACTGTCCAGTGAAATCTAAAAGTGATAGAATTCATCCCCCTATACTGCTCCTTTCTTCCGAAGCAGAGACGCCACTTCCTCCTATTCTGGGGCCAAAAGCGTCCCCAAAGTCGCCTTATCTCGGAGCAAGGTCCTTCGCTTTCTGGCAATGCTCATTGTATCACTATGCTCAGCTCATTTCTAATCTCAAACTGCCGCCAGCGTTCGCTCGGGGGATAGAAGCAGTTGGCTCCCCCAAACCCGCACCAGTTTTTTGGCAGCCTCTTTAGGCCTCTGAACCTATGGGCCCCCCACTGGGCAGAACATTAGCTAGGTGCCTTGCTCGCCCTTCACACCCACCCAGTCTGGGTGCTTACCTCGGGCGTGGTGCGGTCACCGGGGGGATCAAGGATCCCAAATCAGGCCACTGTTGGGGCCGGCGGATTGAGCGAAATTTTTCCTGGGTCTCCACTGCCTCCTCAGACAATGAAATCAGCGTGTCCGATCATCAATTCTCATCATGATCGTGACGTCACCAAAGACAGCGACCAATGGGAGCCTGAGATCAGCTCCGGACAGTCCCTGGCCTCAGCCCAGAACCCAAGAGTAGGGAGGGGGAGGGGAGTTAGCTGCTTGCAGTGAGGCTGCCTTTTCTCCCCCGCACATCTGAGCTGCATGCATGACCAGGTCTCTCTGTACCTCTCCCTTCCTGAATAGCTGTGAACGCCCAGCGTCTCTGTGGTAGTTATATGCCAGCCATTTGAGCAGGTGCTGCCTGATCTTCCAACTTGAGATTCACTTTCAGCAGAATTATTGAAAGCTGATAAAATCAAATGAACACATACAGAAATACAGTCTGTTTTGGTCAGTGTTCAATTGACAGTTATGTATTCAGTGTTACTAAAATCAAGAAAGTGTTCACCGAGCCTTTGAATTTGTTAATAAGAGAGTGCACTGTTTTATGTGACCTCTTGGCTCTGACTACTGAAGCAAGAAATTAAAATTATGGGTTCTGTTCACCTAAACACAATCTCTGTTCTCCCAGAAGTCACGTGAGTGATCACCATTACACCATTACAGAAAAAACCCTCTAGCCATGTGTTACATCATTTAACACTCACTTGATACACTCCTAAAATTTGTTGGGTGCCATGAGAGATGTACAATGTATCAGTCTCCTGCTATTATAGAACTTACAACATCATTCAGAAGATAGATTAGCACACATTAAACATTCACAACAATAAAATAAAGTGCATGATAATGTGCTCAGTCATGAGCTACAGAAGAGCTATATCATTTAATGACAGGACATAAGTGAGGTGATGATAGTTGGGGCAGCGTTCCATACTGCAGTTAAAATTTGAAATGGTTGATAAGAGAGGATGAATGGTTGATAAGAAAGGGTGAAAAGCACTGTCATAAAGAAGAAGGAAGAGGCAAAAGTAAAGAAAGTATAGGTATGTATGATGTGACAAATAGAGGGTGTATGTTGAGGACTAGTGGGGAATAAGATAGACTGATAATAAAAGCCTTTAAAGTATGAAAGAGCTTTTATTTTATTAAAAGCCACCAATAGTCCTAAAATCAGGGTTCCTCAACCCTCTACTGTCCAATGATCAGAACAATTCACGTGATTTTTTTAAAGGAAAAATCAGAACATGCCTAGCTCCAGAATATCCAATGTCTTCCATTCACATATACTATAAAATGCAAGTTTCTTACCATAACCCTAAGGTCCTGAAAGATCTGGCCTTTTCTATCTTTCTGGCCTCACCTCCTGCCATTCACCCACTTTCCAATCACATTGGCTTTCTCTCCATTTCTCAAACAAATTAAGCTCATGCTCACATCAGGGCCTTAGCACTGTTGCTCCCTCTGTCTTTGAATGACCAACTCCCTCACTTAATTCAAATCTCTGCTCAAATGTAACCTCTTTAAAAAATTAACATTTAGGTTTTTTTTTAACTGTAACATTTTTAAAGAAGTTATGTAACTTCTTTAAGAGTAGCCTCTTTAAAATTTTAAAGAGATTACACTGTAATTCTATTTCAAATTATGATCTTTTCAGCACTCCTAACATCTCTCTATAACTCCTTCCATTTTATTTTTCTTCATAGCATTTATTGCCTAAAATACTCTATATTTTTTAGTTATTGCAAATATAAGCTCCATGAAGGCAGGCTTTTTGGGTCTCTTTTGTTTATTACTATATCCCCGGCATCTAGAAGACTTCTGGACATAAAGTAGACAAATCTGTAAGCTCTTGTTGATGAAATGTTTGAATGCAGTTTTCAAGTGATTAATCAGTCATCAATTTGCAATTGAATCAGATTGAGGATAAACTAGAGTGAGATAGACCAGACAGTTTGATTATCTAGATTCTAGAAACTTAGGCTTAGATCAGAATGTTAAGAGCAGGAATGAAGAGAAGTTACTGAAACTGAGACATTTCAAAGAAGGAATGATAAAGGTGAAACTGTAGAATTCAGGGATGACCTACCTATGATGGATTAACACATTCATTACATACCTACTGTGTATCTTGAACTCAGATGATTTGAGAGAAAGAGAAGGGCATAATCCTTACCCATGAAAAATGTGTAGCCCAGCTGATGTGGCTCAGTGGTTGAGTCTGGACCTATGAACCAGGAGGTCCTGGTTCCATTCCTGGTCAAGGGGCTTGCCTAGGTTGCTGGTTTGGTCCCCATTAGGGGGCGTGCAGGAGGCAGCCTGTCAATGACTCTCTCTCATCTTTGATGTTTCTATCTTTCTCTCCCTCTGCCTTCCTCTCTCTGAAATCAAGAAAAACATATTTTAAAAAGGAAAATGTGTAGTCCAACTGACAAGAGAAGACATATATGAAAACACAGTACAAAAAGATAATTACATTCACCTAATTGCTCATTCTTTTCCCCTCACACTCCATATCCAAGCCACCAGTAAGTCCTGTAGACTGCACCTTTAAAATATGTGCCTAATCTGAGCACTACTTACTTCACTCCATCACTACGACACTAATTAGTCACGGTCAACTGTAGTTTGAACTGCAAAAGCATCTTACATGGTTTCCTATTGTCTACTATTGTCCTTTAATACTTTCTCTTAAGAGCATACAAAATGTTCTTTATAAAGTTGACTCATATCACTTCTCCAGCTTAAAGTCCTCCAAATGTTTCCCATTACATTAACAATAAAGCCCTGGATCTTTGTTATGGCTTACTTTCCACCACTTGTTTCTGCTTTGTTTCAGTGTGCTACACTGGTCCTAATCCTGCCCCTACCCCTTCCTATAAAGCCTATTCCCTCTTCAGAGGCTAGCTATGCCTTCTTTGGAAACTCTTTCCCATATCTTTATCTTGCATACTTTTTCAACGTTGGTTGTCTGTTACATTTAGCTCCTCAGATGTGTCTTCATGGATCAATTTATTTAAAATAGCATCCCTAAATCACTCCATCTCCTTTACCCTCCTGTGCTTTTCTATTCTCACATCACTATGGGAAATCATATAATTTGCTTACTTGTTTATTTTGCTTTTCCCCATGGGAGTAGGGACTTTATGTCTCTTATTTGCTGTTATAATCCCAGTACCTAGAACTGTACTTGTCATGTAGTAAGCACTCAATGAAACTTTGTTCAATGAATGGATGCAGGAAAACATAAATTGTGTGGTGTAAGCTGGAGTAACAGGTATTCATAAATCAGATATTTTTTAGTACCATGTATTAAGTATCTATACCTATCCTGTTCAGAATATAGCCATGTGTATTGAATTTATAGGTGAATATAATCTGGGAGGAATAATAAAAGCATGAATATTAACCAAAATTTTAAAGGTCTCAAAAGACTCAACATACAAGTACAACAAGCTCAAGTTTGACAAAGCTAAACAGTAAGTCTTGTTTTTAGCTTTACAAAAAGCAGTTTCAAAATTAGAGGATAGGCAATAAATATTTAAGGTGGAAATTTTTAGTTTTAAAAATTATAAATTTAATATGAGCTGGTATACCATAGCTGTTAAACAAGATAATTGAGAGTTAAACTACATTAAGAAAATTTAACATCTAAAAAAAGAAAGTTAAGAGCCCTACTGTCCTCTATACTGATGAGACCATATCTATTATGTTCAGTTGATAGTTCCTTATTTTAAAAAAGAAACATTCACAAATGGCTATATCTGGAGAAGAGAATACAAGAATGAAAAGGAGTCTAAAAAATATATGAAATGAGGCAAGGATCCGGAAACTGAGGATGCTTAGTTTAAAGAGGGGAAGACCAGGAGAAACTATAACTACCTTCAAATATTTGAAAAACTACAGGTGCAGACAGATGTGACTTATTGTGTGGTTACCCAGAAGCCAATACCAAGGCCAAAAAAGAGAACTGACAGGGAGGCAAGTTTCAGCTTAACATTCAAGTGTTCAAAAATGATAGGGATTGCTTTGTAAAGTCAAAAGTCCTCAAACTGGGAATGTTCAAGCATAACGATCACCAATTAGCAATGAAGACTTATCCATATTGAGTCACTGCTAAAGTTCACTCCAACACGGACTTTATGAATTTTTGCATCATGTCACATATGAATTAGTCAGGAAAATTCCTTAAAGGTAGAAGTGGCTTTGGTCTTTTAGAATTTGGTTTGCTGGAGCTGAATTGGAGGAAAGCTCTAGGTTGGGACATCGCTAATAAAAGAAAATAATTTGCTGTTCTCCTATTCTTCAAAAGGTTAAATCTAAATAAAATATTTTCTCAGTGCATTTTGAGTCAGTATTGGGCAGCATATATCAAAGAAAATGCTTTTAAATTTCATTTTTCCTGTTTAAACTTTTCCCATTAATAAGCAATTCAATTTCCAGTTCATTTTAACCAAGGCAACTGTTTATTTATATATGTGAAACTTTCCTATATGAGCCCAGAACACAGTTCTGAGCAATATGGCTTGAAAAAATGAACCTCCGAGTTACTTAAAATTACATTGATTCATCTGTTAGAGCTGATTTTCATTTATTGGTCTCAGTGCTTTGTAGATTACTGAAGCTAATCTCTTATTTTTTGCTGTCCAACTTTTAGACATTTTTGAGCTTATTGACATCTTCAATCAAAACTGTGCACAAAATATAGTTGAGGAAAGTAAAATTCAGTGTTTTCCTTTTAAATGCTCTTGATTCAAAGCATAAAGGAAATAATTTTAAAACGAATAAATGTTAAATTTATAGGTTCTTCATAGATTTGAATTATCCATAACAGTTTTGTTCTTAGTATTTTGGTTAAAGAGATGCCATTTGGATTAACTTCCATCTCCTTACTGTGGGCCAGGTCAGAGTAAAATCAAGAGGAAAAATGTACTCTGGCACAAACCTTTGGTGGAAAATCCCTTAGAATCATTAATATATCCTCTTCTGCTCTAATGATTCTGTAAATAACCTCTGCAGAATATTAAATTTCTACTTTCTATTTTATTTATTGAAATACATCATTTTGTAGAAAATGTATTAATGAAACTGGTTC